GGGGGTAAATATTGTGGTTTGGGCCACATTAAAGTTGATAGAAGAGCAAGACCGTCTTCAGGTGGATAATAATAGGTGGCTGCTTTTCTAGGCGGTCCCCAACGATGGTGACAAAAGTAAAATCGACTGCAATTTATACTGAAAGTTGTCAAGAAGAGGGGCAAAATGTAGCACGATCAACACAAGCAAATTGATCAAATTCAAGACAACAACACGATGCTGAGTTCAAAGAGTTTGTTAAAGCAGTGACAGATGACTGCAGGCTCTCAGTGAGCAGAAGAGGATTCTGACCATCTACACGTTTGAGCACGAGCTTCCTGACAGCTTCACTGCTCACTAATGTGCTGCAACGTTTGAGAGGTTAACACCTAACATTTGCTCCTCTGGTATTCCAAAACCTTCTTAAAGTAACCGTAACAAGTGTAATGGCAATAACTGATACTCGTATCGGTACTTGAGTGTTGACAAATACTCAAATGTAAGTAGTTGTACTCTGTTTACAAAATGTGTTATGGGTGCATACATGTCTTACCTGGAGAGGACCTTGTCAGCACATCGCCCTACACCAGAATTCTCCCAAAATGAGCGACCCCAACCCAGTCAACCAGGAAGTGGAGACGTTTAACAAGCAGATGCTGAAGAAGACGGACACGGAGGAGACAAACCATCTCCCATCTAAGGAGGAAATTGAAGCAGAGAAGAAGGCCATGAAGAGGATAAATGAAAGCAGCCTGCCATGATGATTCTTCTTTGCCCTGCTCCGTCACCAGCTCGCCCTCCAGTCAGACGTCCTGTCACTTCCACACCGGGTCTGTCTGTGCCACCATGGGTTCGGTGGTTATGAGGGAGTCTCTTGTATAATCATCTGTATACATTAATGCAACGGGAACGTTTACCGTGTTCTTTCTAAACGAAGAAGCGCTGGACAGAACACGGTAAGAGACGGTCGGGCTGTAATCTACAACATGACACCAAAGCTATGCCTGTAAATGGCGCCATTTAAGTAAAGGTTTTGAAAAGAGGCAAATATTTTTGTTTTAATAAAATAAACAGGTCAGATGTTTTGTGGGGCGGCTGTGGCTGAGTGGTTAGAGCAGTCGTCCTCCAATGCAAGAGTTGGGGGTTCGAATCCTCCAGCAGTCACATGCTGAAGTGTCCCTGGGCAAGACACTGAACCCCTCACTGCCTCTGATGTGTGTCTCATCAGTGTATGAATGTGATCTAAAGCTCTGATTAGTCTCTTTAGAATGATTTGTTCAATTATCTTTGTAGAGATCTAGTATAGAGCTGTATGAATGAATAAATGAGGACACAGATTGTTGTAAAGAGCTTTGAGTATTTCCATAAGATAGAAAGGTGCTATACAAGTACAGTCCATTTACCATTTATATATTTCGTAAAAGTTTTTTTATATAACCCGACTGACAGTAGGTGAATACTTGCTTGATATTTTGGGTCATTTAAATGTTTCATAATAATCTTGCACTCCTATATGAAGCTGTTTTCTTTACAAACACTACATAAGTTTCTTTCGCTGCCAGTCAAAGTGGAGGAGTTATTTTCCTAACAGAGGTGGGAATATTGTAGAAAAGACATGTATCCAGATGTCTCTCTACCTCAGACTCAGTTCAGCTTTTTAGAGGTTCCTCATAGTTCAGCATCAGTATCTTCTCTCTGGGCTGTCGGTGATTATAGCTACTCTTCAGTTTTCCTCACTGTGACGCTGTGAATCATCATTTTGTGTCTAATCTCACTGAATTTAAATATCAAAATATTCAAGACAGCAACTTCTGCCTTCTCACCTCTCCCTCCTCTGAACTTATAGACCAAGAGTGCCCAATACGTTGAACATGATCTACTGGTGGATCTCAAAGTATTGTGGGTGGATCACATGACATTAAAAATTAGACATCAGTCTATCATCAATCTATGAAATTTGTCACTTGATTGACAGATAGGACACCCAGTCTGAGCCCCCGCTTACACGATGTGAAACGTGGGGCCGTTCATTTACAGACAACAGCCTCGTTCTCTCTGAAACTGAAGGATTCTGAATCCAGGTCTCAGTGGAGAATTTCAGAGGAACCCCCACAGAGGTGTAAAATGCTCTGCAAGTGTGAAGTGGCACATGTGCACTTCAGGCGGCAGCAGTCCAAACTTTTCTGCACTAACAACTGTTATAATAAATAACAACAGTTATAATAAATAACAACCGTTATAATAAATAACAACCGTTATAATAAATAACAACAGTTATAAAAAATAACAACCGTTATAAAAGATAACAGTTATAAAAAAATAACAACCGTTGTAATAAATGACAACCGTTGTAATAAATGACAACCGTT